GGGGTCATGGGCTGCGTGGAGGCCCGGCGACGCTGCGAGCGCGACAGCCGCTGCAACCTGGCGCTCAACCGCTACCTGACCTACTGCGGCAAGCTCTTCAACGGGCTGCGCTGCACGGACGAGTGCCGCACGGTCATCGAGGACATGCTGGCCGTGCCCAAGGCGGCGCTGCTCAACGACTGCGTGTGCGACGGCCTGGAGCGGCCCATCTGTGAGTCGGTCAAGGAGAACATGGCCCGCTTGTGCTTCGGCGCCGATCTGGGCAACGGCCCCGGCAGCAGCGGCTCGGACGGGGGCTTGGACGACTACTACGACGAAGAGTACGACGAGGAGCCTCGCCTCGGCGGGGCGGGCAGCGAACAGCCGCTGGACGACGACGACGGAGTCCCGCACGCCCCGCGCCCGGGCGGCGGCGCTGCTGCGGCGGCGGCGGGTGGCCGCGGGGAGCCGCCCTACGGGCCCGGGCGCCGAAGCGTCAGCGGAGGCGGCGGCCGCGCGGTGTCCCGAGGCGCCGGGACCCCGCTCGCCTCCATCTTGCTGCTGCTGCTCGGGCGGCTGGTTTAGACTTGGGCGCCCCACCGTTAGCTGCGGGAGAGCCCCCGCGTCCCGCTTCCCCGCTCGCTCTCTCCAGCTGCGGGACGGAGTGGGATGGTGGGGCAACTGTTACCCCCCCACCCCATCTTTTGCCAGGTCGACTCGGCCTAGCCGGTCGACCGGCCAGGACGCTAGGCACTTAGGCGTCTGCTCTCTCCAAGCATGACTTCTTGGACCTCGCCCCTCGCCCCTCGCATTTTTACCAAGTGGCCCGTTCTGCCGAAGCCAGCACACGAGGAAACACGCTTAGGACACAACCGGTGTGTCCGGGACTTGGGACGGTCCCCATAGGGTCTTAACAGTTCCAAGGAACTGGGTTTGAAACCGGGAAGGTGGGACTAGGGTGAAGAAGGAATGGTCTTGGCAAAGGGGTCTGACCGTTTGTTAGCATTTTTTCCCCCTGCAATAGTGGAGGGAAATAGTGACGGTATCGACTTTTATTGCTTGTGGCCATTGAGGACAAAACAATCGTAAGTAAATAGAAAAGTCCCACGTTCGTTGTTACCACTCTGAGTTGTTTTTTTTTAAAGCATGTTTCTTGGGATTAAGGGCCCAAAAATGGTTGATCTAAAGAGTTACTATGATGTTAAACAATGCAATTTTTTTAATTTTAAAAAGCTCTGTACTGCCATCTATGAAAGCCTCTTTAAGGTGTTTATTTTGTTGCCATTTTCATTGTTTGCATCAAGAAATTACACGTTCAAGTATGCAGAGCTTGTATATTGCCTCTGCTCCTATCAGGGTGTTAAACCCTGGTATATCCTATATAAAGTGTGTTAAAACTGGGGTTTGTTACCAGTTGCTATATTTTGTATATAGAATTTTTATAAATTGTATGCTTCAGAAAATAATTTATTTTTAAAAGAAATTAAAAGTTTTAAAAGTGTATGTTACACCCTCACTCCCCCCCCCAATTTTCACCAAGGATCCAAACCCACAGTCCATTTTGAAGTATGCTCCATTTAGAACCATCCTAAAATGTACAGTGTATTTTATAGATTTGAAGTAACATCCTTATTTTCCAGAGAATTTATGGACATTGTAGAAATGTATAAACGCATTTCCAAACTGCCTTAAACCTTGTATTTTTATAGACATCATTTTTTAAAGTCCTGTGTTTTAAATAACTATGGCTTTGCGTATTTTTTGTTACTTGTTTTATTAAAAATGTGTACATCAGTAAAGAGTTTAAACAGTGAGTATGGTGTGGTCGCTTTCCAGAATTACACTGTGGTTAACCCCATAATGGGTGAGGAGGGGTGTAGAAAGGACACTGGGAATTCATCAACCACCAGTTGAAATTAAAATGCAGTGTAAGACAAGAAATGTGGGCTATTTCTGCCTTTAATTTAATGAACAATTAGACATCTGCAAATGAGCCAGCTAAAAAGATAAGTGGCCAATGTCTTTGAGTTTCTGCATTTGTGGAGAGAAAACTCTTCTGTGCATAATTTGGGGATAACCCAGGCATTACATACTCCCCTCCCCTTTTTCCACAGGGGTCACACCCTACCCAGTGGGTCCCCCTCCCCTTTTGTCCCTGACCCCCAGGAGTGTTCTTTCTGACTACTGGACATTCTCATACAATCAAACATACCAATAACATCTGTTACCAATAGGTCCTAGGAAACATACTAGGCTCAATACTTCAAAGTCATTTTCACACTTAGGGTGAAAAAAAAAGGTACAAAATTTTGTTACAAAACATTTCAGGCTGGCAAAAGAAAACACTAGGGAGAGGAATAATTAGCAGAACTTGGAATATTGTTGGGAGGAGTTGTTTAGTAGCGGGCTGAAGGCTGGGTTTCAGCCAGAGCTACTGATCTACACTCAAACGCCCTTAGATAAATAATTACACTCTTAAGCTGTGTCGAGTGCTGATACACTTGACCTTGTAAATAGAAATGTTTGCAGTAGGAATAAACTCCGGCATTGGAAAATCTTTTAAACATTAACACAAAAGAGAGCGCTCTGTCCTCTGGGGATTTGAGCCTGAACCTTGCCAAGCTAGGCACTTGCAAGGGGGAAAAAAAGTTTATTTATCTTCTATTCCTGGTGTTTATTTAAAGCTTTTCATTTTAAACGCAGTGATTGGAAGGCAAGTCAGGAGTTTAAAAGTCACCACAAATAAACTTTGTCTAAGGGGTCGACAGATTAGCAAGATCTGGTGTCTCTTTATTTGATATTAACATGTGCTGAGAAAACATAACCACATTTCTCTGCTGCCTAAAGTAATTAAAGCTATGCCCCTTCCAACTTCCTCTCACCCACACCCACCCCCTACTTTCAGGTCTCTTCTGCTTCTTACCCTTTCCCCAGCTTTTATGGAGGGATCTCCTGATGCCATAAAACCAAGATTTCTCTATGCATAGTATTAGAAAGTCTAAGATAGCGGCAGTTTCAGACTCAAGCCTAAGAGAGTGGTGTATGTTTGGAATCTCCAGTCACCTGAATGGTTGAGTAAACATATTGTTAAAACAAAGCTGCCAGCATTGTTTCTTTGGGAATTGAACAAAAGGTACTCCAAGAGACTTGTAAATGAAATCAGCTTTCTTTACAAAATGACCAGGAGTCATTTTGTAAAGAAATTGTTCCGCATTTGTCCTTAAATATATTTAAATCATCTCATCTCATGTTATTTTAACACGTTCTTGACGAAAAGTTAAGTCTTTGTCCCAGTAAAAGGCCCAGTTTTCTCCAGTAAGAAGTAAAAGGCATTAGCACTAGAAAAGGCTCGATAATTAACTGCTACAATAAACTCACGACTTGATTTTACAGGGTCCTGTCAAAAGCATCTGCCTGGAATAAATCAACACAACTCTTGGGGAAGAGAGGACAGGCTTTATGCTTTCTTCTGCGGAGAAAGTGAACATTGATCGGTGGTCTATTTTAATTTAGACAATTATACACTGGAGCCCAAGGTCTCCTAGTCTCCCTACACATCTAGGGACTCCAGAACAGGCTGTTGAGAAGTTAGGGCCCTTGGACCATTGGCTCTGGGTTTTTATGTTGCCATCTGCTTCTAGACAGAAAGGATTGTTACAGATGTTGACATCTGTAATATGTTACACTCTCCAGGGAACTCTTTGGAATTTTGGACATTTGGCTATCTCAAATGTCTAGCAGAGACTGCCTGGAAGTATCATTATGAAAGGAAAGGTATTTCTGGTTTTCTTGTGAATTCTGTCCCTACCCAACTTCCCACAGAAGCCTTCCAAGGCAAGAGAAGAGCCCCTTTGGATTTCATGTAAAATCATGTGTCCTCGTGGCCTTTCCCGTTTCCCCAGTTAGCAGGTTTGAATTCTCAGTGACAGTTTATTTGTCTTTGGAGGCACTTCAGTGACAAATGTTTAAGGGAGTGTGGGACAATGGTGGAGAACAAGGGGGCAGTTCATTGAACTGACAGTGACCATACAGTAAATAGAAGGAGGTCCAGACTTCACTGCTCACCAGAGCACACAGCCATGCTTTTGTATATAACCACAATGGATAGAGCATAAGGTCTGTGTTTATTTTTGAACATTATACAGCAATGCACTTGAGCAATACACATGTGTAAAGCAGAAAATGGCTGTGGGGAAGTGAATTCTTCTAAGTAGCAGGGCATCTCTGCACCCTTCAAAGGTCTTTGAGAATAGAAGCAGCATCCAGCTTCAATTGCCACAAATTTAAAGGACCACTGGCCCTAATGTATCTGGACGGTATCACAGTTCTGCAGTAGGGTCCATGTAAACATAGAAAATGACATATTCACTTTGCAGTGTAGGATAAAGATCTAGAACAAGAAAACCATCCAGTGGGATTCCTTCCTCCCTTTTCTCTTGTTCACACTTTGACTCCATCCCAGCAACATGGTATAATCTTATGCCAGAAGAACCCCTAAAATTCCATGTGAACTTTGAGGCATCAAAAACCACATTGAAATTCTACTTCCACACTGTTTTGGCTTTGCATTGGGAGTTTCTTTTCTTCCCTCTCCACCCCAATCCCCAGGGTACTGGGGCTTGGACTCAAGACTTGGACTTTGTCCCTTAGCTTTTCACTCTAAGATGGTCCTCTACCACTTTGGCCACAGCTCCATTTTTGGCTTTTTTGGTGGTAAATTGGAGATAAGAGCCTCATAGACATTCCTGATGAGGCTGGCTTTGAATCACAATCCTCAGATCTGAGGCTCTGGAGTAGTTGGAATAACGGCCATGAGCCACCCACTCCTGGCTACATTATGAGTTTCTTAAGTTCACTACGGAATACAACCTCATGTACCTCTTTTCAAAGCTGGAAAAAGGAATGCATTATTTGTTTTTTGACCTCTTACACAAAGGAACATGGGAAATGTTGTCAATTGACCCAGTTTCAGCTACTCAAAGCAGATTGCTGGACAGCATCAAGTTGCAGATACCATGTGGTCAGGGTTACTTAGTCAAGGCTTGAGTTTCCAATAGGTCTCACTGCCACAGTGACTGAAGCTGGACATTACTGTATCCTAGTTGAGAGAGTGGCACTGGAAGACAGTTGAAAAGGTTCACCCTTGACTATGCCAGTGACGTAGGTAATGTGTCATTAGCATAAATACCTTCTAAGACATGCATTTAATCAATTTCTAAAATACCAGAATGATCTACTACAAAATAGTGGACTGTATACACTATATTTTGGCACAAAGATGCTCATTCTCCCACTAGTAACCAGGGGCTCTAAATAAATGATTTCAACAATGTTTTATTAAAGGACGACAAGAGCCCTCGAGCTGCATTAATCGGGGAGAAGTCGAGTGGCACTTTTGTTATGGAAATGTTAAGCACATAATAGCAAGGCCAAACAATGTGCAGCCACTTCATTCTTTCAGCCATGCTGACACCTCTTAAAGAGGAGCTGCAGGGAAGGATGTGGGAAAGATCTGCTTGCCCAGGAAGCTTTCAGCTCATATTTTGGAGAGCTACCTCCAAACCCTGCTGAATACATGCCTCCCAAGCCAGGAGGGCCAACAAGATGGACACAATGCTTTCTTCCCTTTGTGTAGGAGTTCAGGTTCCCTAACAAAACTCCAATGTCCTCATATTTTTTTGACATGGTATTTACCAAAAATAATATTTTGCTGATTTTGTAGTCATGGGGATTGATTTGATCAAGTCGATCAAAGGCTCTGTGACTCTCCAAGGTGTTGACCTATGCCACAGAGAGCTGGGACTTGTTCTCCTTCAAAAAGCACAGGCAGCTGAAAGTTGCAAACAGGTACTTCATGTCATCAAGGACATCTCCAATCTGCAACCAAAACTATTGCAAACCTTGTAGTCTCTGGCAACTGGTATGTATCCATACAAGTAGGTTAATAAATGAAATAGGATTTTTGAAAGTTCTTGAAACTTGAATAAACAAACATCTCACAAGTAAATATTACTATATATTTTATCCATAATCGGGTATTTTTAAAGTACCAAAAAAAATTTTCAGTGAGATGTGAACCTGCTTCATAGATAATTCTTTTCTTCTTTCCTCTCCTCCTTTCTTCCCTCTCTCCCTCCCTCCTTTTCTTCCTTCTTTTACTTTCCATTCCTCTCCTCCTTCATTCCTCTCTCTTCAGTCCCTACCTTTTCTCTATCCTTTCCCTTTCTTTCCTTTCCCACTCCTTCCTTCCTTTCTCCCTCACTTCTTCCCTCCTCCCCTTTCTCCTTCCCTCCCTCCTCCTTTCCATCTTCAATCTTTCTTTCTTCCTTTCTTTCTATCCTTCCTTCCTTCCTCCCTTCCTTCCTTCTTTCCTTTCACCCTCTCTTGCTCCCTCCCCTCTCTGCCTATCTCCCAACCTTTCTCCCTTCCTCCCTCCTCTACACCCTCTTTTCTTCTTCCCCATTTCACCCTCCCTCCTTTCCTTCCTTCCTTCCTTCCTTTCTTCTTCATTTCATTGTTGTTGTTTTGATATATAGTCTCACTATCTAACCCAGGCTTAGGTCAAATTCAAAATCTACCTGTCTCTGCCTCCTAAGTGGAATGCTGGGATTATCAGATTGTGCCACCATACTCAATTAGATAATTCTTTTCTGACAATGTTGTTCTTCTACCTTTAGTTTTAACTTACTTCTTACTGATCAGATAGTTTCACCCATTTGGAACATTTTTTCTGCACCATGCTGAGGTTAGTTTTTCTGATGATTAAAATTTGTGTCTTTAATAAACAGGTGGTAACAGCCATAAAGAACTTTTT